GCACATGCCTTTAATTGCAGCACTCAGGGGGCAGAGGCAGGAGGATCTCTGTGAGTTTGAGGCCAACCTGGTCTACAGAGTGTCCGGATAGGCTCCAAAGCTACAGAGAAACTGTCTCAAAAGACCAAAATCAAGTTTACTTTAATTGGTGAGAGACTCAGTGAGAGACCCTGTCTCAGATAACAAGGTTGGGGGATGTGGCGATATCTCGGTGGGTAAATTTGTGTGTAGTGCAAGTCTAATGACCTGACTTGAGATCCCCAGCCTAAAATCTGGACACAGAGGCACTTGTTGTAATCTCATTATGCCCTATAAGAAATGGATGGGTCAACAGAACTGCATGAAGCTCTTAGGCTAGCTGACCTGGCATCTGCAGTAGTGAACAAAAAGAGAAATCCTGCCTCAAACAAGGCTTGAGTTCATCCTCTTACATGTTAACACATACATACACATACAATGATATGTAATAGTTCTTTTTGTCCCACTAGCCAGTTCCCAAATAATAACAGAGACATATTAATTAATTATGAAAGCTTAGTCTTAGCTTAGGCTTATTCCACTAGCTCTTTTTTGTTTGTTTGTTTTCGAGACAGGGTATCTCTGTATTGTTCTGAAGGCTGTCCTGGAACTTGCTCTGTAGACCAGGCTGGCCTCAAACTCACAGAGACCCGCCAGCCTCTGCCTCCCAAGTGCTGGGATTAAAGGTGTGTGCCACCTATGCCCAGCTCCACCAGCTCTTCTAACTTAAATTAATCCGTATATTTTTTTTATCAGTCTATGTTCTACCATGTGGTGTTTACCTCTCCCCCACTCTAAGTGTCTGACTCTCCCACATTTGGCTGGCTTCTCTGTCTCTCTTCTTCCCAGAGTCCTCTCTGTGCCTGCAAGACCTGCTTATACCTCCTGCCTAGCTCTTTTATTTAGCTATTTAGCTATTTAGTTCTTTATTAAACCAATCAGAAGGTGCCTTGACAAACATACATCTTTACAATATAAAAAATTATTCCACAACACTTATATACACCACAAACATATTATACATATATAACACACATTATACATACACAGCACACACATTATATGCAACACACATATAATACATATGCAACCCATATACTAAACATATACAACATACATACATTATATACATATACATATGCACACACATCAGGAAGACATTAAGAATCCCAACATTGAACTCTGGCTTACATAAACACACACACACACACACACACACACACACATTCACACTTACACATATGAAAACATACACACACAAACATGTACACACAAATATACCACGGATTAATGCAAAAAATAATTTAATTTAAAACAGGGCATGGTATAATCCCATGGGTCACCTGAGAAACAGAGGCACATGGATCTTTAAAGCCAGCCTGGACCACATAGCAAGTTTGAGACCAGCTAGGGCTACATAATGAAACCTTGTCTCAAGTTCTTAAAAACAAAAGGTTGTGAATGCAGAACGGCTGCAGCCCTCTGGGAGGCAGCCCAGCAGCAAGCCTGGTCTACATAGGGCTGCCTGGAGCAGTAGGTTCTCCGGAGCCTCTCCTTGAAAGCTCCTTAGGTTACCCTCACCAAGGGGGCCTTGGGAAGCACCCAGAGCCATTTGCAGGGATTATGTCCTTGTTCCTGTGCTGTAGGGTGGTGGGCTGGGGTGTGCAACCAGAAGAGCAAATCTATGAACCCAAATTCATGAGTAAACAAAGGGAATCTTTTGTTGTTGTTGTTTTCAATTTCATACGTATGGGAATTTTGCCTGCTTGTATGTTTCAACACCACATGCGTGCCTCCTGTCTACAAAGACCAGAAAAGGTGGTCGGATCTCCTAGGACTGAATTACGAGACGATGGTAGCAACCATATGGGTGCTGGGAATCCACCCCAGGTCCTGGGTGCTGGTTAAAAGCCTGTGGTGCCTTTTAACTGCTGAGCAATCTCTCCAACCCCACGGAGACACAGAAGGGGTGGGGTAGAGAAAAAGGAAGAGGGAGAGTTGAGCTCTTCTCTCCACTTTTTGTTCACTTCAAAGAAGCCTAGTGTACAAGCCTAACAGCCTCAGTAAAAGCTAGTGCCCACTGCCTGAAAATAAAGCTGCCTTCCTTCCTCCTCTCCTTACTGGGGCTGGGGTAGGGGCTGGGGGTGAGGGTGCCTTGGTTGAGAACCTGACAGGGCAGGACCATGTGACAAAATCTACGTTGTGAGATTTTATTCAAATCTCTTCTTGGGAACAAATTCATTGAGGACTGGAAGACTTCCTCTGAAATGTTGGTTGCAACAGTAGGCAAGAATGGCAGGTTTCTACTTATAAGGCTTTACTTATCAGTAGTCCTGGGTTGCAGGCATCACCAGGTAAATAGTGAGGAGAGCAGCAACAAAACATTCCCAGAAGCCCCTCTCCCCAGGGGAGTGTCTCAGGAGACCTGGAGGAGGACCACTAGGAGTGGTGGCTTGGAAGGGCAGCGCAGTATTTTTACAACTCCAGTTCTGATGAAAATTGACTGCGTTGGGTCATTTGGTTCCTTCAGATTTTCTGGGCTGGATGTTTTTACTTCTCTGGGTCTCCACATGCTATGGGGAGAAGGCACTGGACTTAGATCTCAATGTGTTGATTCTCACTCTAGATCTGTACAGACCTGGCTGGTATAACCTGGGAAGCTTCAGATGAACCTTGGTTCAATCACTGGCTAATGCTCAACTCAAATTAAGTCAGAGCCTGTGCTCAACTCAAATAAGACATCCTTCCAAAGGATGTCTTGGCAGACAACATTTATACTGTCAGCCCCAATTTGCTTTGTTTTTTAGCTTTTTGAGACAGGTTCTCATTATGTAGCTCAGTTGGACCTGGAAAGCATTATGCAGGCCAGGCTGGGCTTGCCTTGCAGCAATCGGCTTGCCTCTGTCTCCCTCGTGTATTACCACACCCAGCTTCTTGTTTTTGTTGTTTGGTGTGTGTGGTGCATGCCTGCTTCCAGTATGGCTGTATGAGCAGGCTAGAGGACACCCTATGCCTTCCTCATCCCCTCAGGATAGGTACCTCAATGAGACTCAAGTTCACCAGTGCAGCTAGACTGGCTGGCCACTGAGCTCCCAGGATCCACCTGCCTCTTTCCCCTAATACTGGGATTAAAGGCATAAATGGCCATGTCTGACTTTCTGTGGATGCTAGGGATTTAAACTCAGGTCCTCACGCTTGCACAGCTAGTGCCTTCATACACTGAGTCGTTTTCTTAGCTTATTGTTTTACATGTAATTTTTCTTTCTTTTTTTTTCTGTTTTTGAGAAAAGGTCTCATGTAGCCCTGGCTGGCATGGAACTAGTTAGGTAAATCAGGTTGGCCTCAAATTCACAGACTGGTCTGACTTCAGGGTGCTGGGATTAAAGGCATGTGTTACAACAATCTACAAATTTAATTTATGTATTTATCTTTTAAACTTTATTATATTTTATTTATTCAGTGTGTGTGTGTTTGCATGTGCATAGCATGCATATCGAGGTCAGAGAACAACTTGGAAGCGCTGATTCTCTTCTATCATGTGGGTCCCTGGGACCAAATTCAGGTCTTCATGTTTGGCAGCAAGTGCCTTTACCCACTGAGCCATCTCATTGGCCCTTGCATTTGTTTTTGACACAGAAAAACTTCAAAAACCATTGTACATACTAGCACCACCCCGACCTGTGAAGCCTGTGTGAGGCATCACTCCACTCTGCCTTGCCGGTCACTGTGAGAACTGCAATTGCAGCCATAGCCAATGCATCCCAGAGGCTTGGTGGTGACAGAGCACTGCCATTCCACCAGCCTGCTCACCCTGTCTGGAGCTGTTAGAGATCAAACATGCTGTCTGAAATACCTGGCGAGTCTTGGCAGGCCTCAGTAGGCGTTGAAGTCTGTCAGTCCATCTGGGCACTGCCTTCCACAAGTGTCCTGTGCTCTGCCCCCACTGTTTGCTCAAGGTGAGACCATCTTTCCCAGCTGTTGTCAGAGAGCAAACAGGAACCTGAGAGCTTAGTCACCTGGAGAGGAAGCCCCTCCTGTCACCAGAAGATTGGACTTCTGGGGCCAATGAGTGAGTGGACTCCACAGAAAGGATACTCACTGCCTTGTGCCAGAATTTGGAGCTGAAATACGCGAGAGAACAGCCCTACCCCAGCTCAACCTCCTCCTGTGGCTTGGGCCCTTGGGGTGGGCAGGTAGGCTCTTCCTTCCCTCCTTCCTCCCTGAGTTGCAGCAGACCCTGTTGGCACTTCTCTGGGCACCCATGCTGAGTGTGAGACAGCTCACACCTGTGATCCCAGCACTTGTAGGTAGACAGGAGCACTGGGATTTTGTCACAGACCCTGGCTACATCAAGAGTTCAAGGCCAGACTGGGCAATAGAAGACCATCCCACAGAGTACAAAATGAAACAATCAATGAAAGTGTAGCTGGTAAAATGCTGACAATTGTTAGTACTATGAGCTCAGTTTATTTTGATTTTTTGAGACAGAGTTTTTCTGTAGCTTTGGCGCCTGTCCTGGAACTCTCTGTAGACCAGGCTGGTCTCGAACTCCCAGAGATTTGCCTGTCTCTGCCTCCTCAGTGCTGGGATTAAAGGCAGAGCTCAGTTTATTAAATTCACAATTATGTATTCATTATTGAATATTCTTATGATATTGAACAAACTCACTAACTTTTTGGAATTTTCATAATTTGGTGGGTTTTTTTGTTGTTGTTGTTGTTTTGAGACAGAGTTTCTCTGTGTAGCACTGGCTGCTCTGGAAATTGTTTATACACCAAGTTGGCCTTAAACTCAGAACTCAGACTGACTTGCCTCTGCCTCCCAGTGCTGGGGCTAAAGGAATGAGCCACCATTGCCTGGCTCATAATTTGTATCTTAAAGAAAAAGCTTCACGTAGCCATTTTCAAATCACAGTATTAAAAACTGGGAACACACTGAAGGTCTCATAGTAGGTGAATCACAAACTATGGAACATCCCTCAGTGAAGTTTACATAATTAAAAGCATTTATTCAGCTATGTGTGAATAGTGAAACCATGATGTGTGGTTAAGTAAAAACCCAAGACATTAAACAGTATATACTTCATGGTAATGTAGATTGGTATCTTTAAAAAAATTGAATTACAAAAATAACTTGATATACTCAGAATGTGGTTTCTTCTCCCACCTCCAGCACCATGGGCTGGCTGCTCACCCAAGCCCGCACCAGCCTCTGCTTCCACCCCTCCTCTCACCCCTCCTCATCAATACAGCCAGGTATCCCTCTTCAGCCCAAAACCCATGAGGAGACCCTGTGGCCCCACACAAACTCTATGGGATGCCACTTTTCTGCTTGTCTACAGCTGTCCCCTCACTGTCTCGATGATCCCTTGCTACAGCCCTCTCCAGCCTCTGGGCCTTGGCAGGTGCCATGCTTGCTGCTGGGAATGTGCGGCCTCCGTGGCTGCGGATGGTCTCCTTTATTAAAATGGCTTCCCTGGCCCGCACCCTGGCTTCTCCTTACAGCACTTCCCTTCCACAGTACACACACATACTTTGCCTCCTTCCTTTCTGAGCAATCCCGATCCTTTGAAGCTTTCTCTGCTGCATCCTCCCTTCCTTGCACACAGTAGGTGATCAGTAAACACTTCCTGAATGAAATCAGGTAACTATCCAGAAGGCTGGAAGCAACTAGTGGGCTTCCTGTTTGTCTCTTCCTCCTAGAGGTGGCAGCAGAAGCCAACAGCAGCTATGCAGGACCTGTCAGGGTGGCCCACAATGGCCACACAGGGGACTTGGTCTCTTTCACGTTTATAACATGCGCTACCCTACTTGAAGCTTATAACCTGCCAGGCAACACTTGTGGGGAGAAACTGGAACAAAGAGTACAGTGCTTGCCACAGGCAAGAGCCCCAGTGCCCACTCCCAGAAACACTGTGCCAACAGGATGGTCTGCATGGCCACCCATCAGGGCCCCAGCCTCTCAAGGTCCCTGTGCAAGGCAGGATTTAGATCCACCCAGTCAAGACTCTCAGGCTCTGGGGAATGAGAACTGCAGGTTCAGAAGCACCGGCAGGAAGGGCAAAGGCTGTTTCCAAGCTGGGGCGTCACACAACTTCTATGCACTAATGGAGGCTTGGCAAGCAGTCCTTGGGGAATAACTACAGGCACAGACAAAGTCTACAGGGTACCCTGCTTGCCCAGACAGCCCCACCAGCCCAGTGATGGTGCTGGGGTCCTAAGACCATCACCTGCTGTGCGAGCACTTGCCTGTGGCAGAGCACTGAACAACAGGACTGCTACCTCCAGCCTGCAGTGTTCATCACAGAGGAGCCCAGGGATGATGATGGCTGAGGCTGGCAGTGGAGATGAATTCCTGAAAAGTGGCCAATAGGCCCACTTCCTCCTTGGCTTTGTGTGCATTTATAAGGTCACTTTAGGTATCTGTGCTAAGGGATTCCACTGATTTTTAAAAACAGGGAGTTTTCAGGTAGTCATGGCTTTGCATCAAAACTATAGAGATCAGTTGAGTGTCCTGGCACACACCTATAATCTCAGCACTGAAGGAGGTAGAGGCAGGAGGACCAGGAGTTCAAGGCCAGCCTGGGCTATATGAGATAATCTTAACCTCACTGCTTCCTCCCTCCCTTCCTGACCCCTCAAGCTGAGAAACCCTATTAAAAAAATGTTCCTCTTTATAAAGTAACTGCTTGAGAGAGAGAGAGAGAGAGAGAGAGAGAGAGAGAGAGAGAGAGAGAGAGAGAGAGTTCAGCACTGCAGGCTGCTTAGAGCAGGGCAAGCCCCAGGCCAGAGTTGGGCTGCTTTGTATGTGTGTGCTCCCTGGAAGCCTCCTCTTCTAAGAAGTCCCTGGCACTGTCCTCCATCTCTGGCAGGTAAGAAGAGGAGCTTGCAGTCCCAGGAGCACCCTTAGCTGCTGGGGGTTCCAGGTGTGATCAAAATTCATCCCGTGGCTGCGAGGGTCTGTCCATGCCAAAGAAGGATGACTGCTTCCCATGGAGGTCCCGCTCCCGCTTCACGAAGGCAGTAAACGAGGAGACACAATTGCCAATGAAGTGGTCAGCCTGGCCAAGGATATACAGGTCGATCTGGGCCACCTCAGGTTTCAGGCTCACCACCTTCACCTGCAGGGAAGAAGATAAGGGCATGAGCCCTCAGGCCAATTCAATTTGTAGAGCATGAGACTTAATCACAGGATCATGGGTTTGTGCCCCACATTGGGTGCTAGATGAAGTGTTACTCTAATTATTAATCTCATCAATAAAAACCTGAAGTCATACATTGGGGTAAAAACTGAAAGATTAGAAAAGCAGAGCAGCAGCCACCAGAGACCTCTTACCTCCCTTAATTATCCAACCAAAAGGGCTGAGATCGTCTCTCTGTCCTGCCTTATCTCTTCCTGTCTCGCTGTCTATAGTCCACCAAATCTCTATGGTTAACTAGTGGTAGCTCTGCCCTCTGACTCCAAACAAGCTTTATTTGTCAGAATACAAACAAAATATCACACAACACCTTTCCTGACTGAAGTTTCAGACAAAGGGAGGTTTGGAGAGGATGAAGATGTGGACCAGGAAAGAATGGAGAGGATGAAGATGTGGGTTGGTGTTTTTGAAGTGTGCCCACCTGGGTGAGCCCTGTCTCCAGCCCAGTTTGCGGAGCACCGTTCTTGCTGTTGTCTTTCCTCTGCCTATCCTATAGTGCCCTCACAACTCATTAAAAGCTGCCCAGGTGCCGGGCAGTGGCACACGCCTTTAATCCCAGCACTCGGGAGGCAGAGGCAGGCGGATCTCTGTGAGTTCGAGGCCGGGCTGGACCGACAGCCTCCAAAACAATACAGAGAAACCCTGTCTCATAAAACCATAAAAAAAAAAAAGCTGCCCAGGCTTGGAGGTTTACTCATGTGTGCAGCACTACACAGACCCTGGGTTCTATCCCAGCATCAAACAATCCTCCTGAGAAACCCCTCAAGCCAGCTCATGTGCTGCCTTCTTGGCAAAGAGCACAAGATGCCTTCTTCTTTCAAGCAGCATTCCCAGGCCCAATGTTCTATCCAATCTACCCACTCCTGAGACCTTTGCAAAGGTAAGTCATTTCCTATGAGGAACTACCTCTCCCTGGGCTGACCGACTTCCATGACCTCTTCCCCGTCTCTTACTGCCTTGTCTGGTCTGTCACTACAGAACTGCCATAAGAAACATCTGAGATGCCCATCTCCCTGTCCTCATGCTATTCAAGCTGCATACCCTTTACAGGTGCCTGGGGCCTTCAGATAAGGATGGCAAGTCATCAATGCACCTGATAAGGCCTGCTTAGGCTGGCTCTCCCATCACCCACTGTCCTTAGGGTGACAGACACCATCTGACTAGCTCACCCCCTTTTTGTTTCTCCTTAGGACCTTTATAAATACTGCTCTGTCATGGGGTATCCTGCCTTGCTAAGTTTTATGTCAACTTGAATAGTTAGTCACCAGAGTAGCGGGAACCTTGGTTGAGAAAATTTCTCCATAAGACTGGGCTGTAAGCAAGCTGTAGACCATTTTCTTAACTAGTGATTGATGTGGGTGGTGCCAACCTGGGCTGGTGCCCAGATACTAATAAGAGAGCAGGCTAGCCAGGTGGTGGTGGTTTCAACTTTAATCCCAGTACTTGGGAGACAAAAATGGGTGGATCTCTTTGAATTCAAGGCCTGGCCTACAGAACTAGTTCCAGGAGAATAGGGGCTACACAAAGGAGCCCTGTTAAAAAAACCAAAACTAAAAACAACACCAATAGTGTTGAGCAAGCCAGTAAGCAGCATCCCTCCATGGCCTCTGTATCAGCCCTTGCTTCCAGGTTTCTCCCCTGTGTTGAGTTTCTATCTCCACTTCCTTTAATGATGGACAGTGATGTGGAAGCGCAAGCCAAGCAGCCCCTCCCCAACTTACTAGTGACCATGGCTAAGACGTGGGAGTAAACCTGCATAACTCCTGATGACCTTTTACTTCTCAAATCATGTGGCACACCTCTAAGGAAGCCCTTCCCAAGGCCCACCAGGCTGGATACTCTTAGAGCACCCCCTGCCCCCCAAGCAGGCACCTGGCTATCTGTAGCTCTCACCCCTCAGTGGTTCTTTAACACCCTGTCCTGCTGGACCTGAACTGGACCTTTGCTGTTCTGCTCAGTCTCAACAGATACTGGTTGAATAAACCTTGTCCTCATTCCTGTTTGCAGACCCACAAAGTCTTCCCAGTCTAGACTGTGGCCCTGAAGGCAGGACCACATCTCATTTATTTGGGTTCCCAATTTAAAGATATAAGGCATCACTCAGAACAAAGAAGGGGCCCGGGGAGGTGGACAGAAAAAATTTTTTGCTTTACAAGCAAAACGACCTGAGCTTGATTCCCACAATGCATATTTAGAAATCATTGCTGCCATTCATTTTCAATCTCAGCACCCAGGAGGCAGAGGCAGGTGGATTTCCTTGAGTTCAAAACCTGCCACAGCTACACAGTGAGACTCAGGTTTTTGTTTTTGGTTTTTCGAGACAGGGTTTCTCTGTAGCGTTGGAGGCTGTCCTGGAACTGTAGACCAGGCTGGTCTCGAACTCACAGAGATCTGCCTGCCTCTGCCTCCCCCAGTGCGCCACCACTGCCTGGCGAGACTCAGGTTTTTTTATTTTGTGTGTTGTTTTTTTAAAGAAAGTAAGCTAGTTTAGTGGTGTGTGCTCAAAATTCCCACACTGGGAAAAGAGACTGAGCTTGCTGGACTACTTGGAGAGTTTCAGGCCAGTGAGAGGGCTTGCCTCACAACAAAAGGTAAATAAATGGTACCTGAAGCTGTTCTCTGACATCCGCACACAAATTTGCATGCGTGTGGACATGCACACACATGTCACACATCAAAAGGGGAGGAGGATAACAGACCGTGAGCACACGGAAAATGGGGCTGAGTGGGGGTGGGGCAATGAGCCCACAGAAATGAAGCTGAGGGGAGGGGGTGGGGCAAGAACACCAGCACAGGAACAGGAAGTAGGAAATACCAAGAGGCTCAAGGCCTAACAAGTGCACCAACCCTAAAGCTCCTAAAAACTCCCTGGGACTCTCCACGCTTCAGCTTCGTGCAGGTGAGGGGTGAGCAGAGCTGCCTGAAAGTGTGCTGTTGCGCCAAGGTTTCTGACGTCACCAGCGTTGCTGCCTGGGTTGTAGTAAAGACACTATAGTAATCTCGGCTAAAACCCCCAAACAATTCCACCCACTCCCCGAACTTACCCGCTGTGTGACTCCAGCCACAACTGGCTCTGAGACCTCTTAGGTAAATCCTGCCCCTTCTCTGCAGCTCTCCTCAACTACAGCATGCAGGGGGAGCCAGAGGACTAAGGTTTCTCAGCTGAATGTCTGCCTAGGCATGGGCAGGGCAGACCAGAAGACACTGGCCCCACACTTCCTCGTTGGTCGGGGCATCTTTTTTTAGACGTGGAGGGAGTGAAAGGACAGAAAGAGACCAGTGACATAAGGCTGGCAGCTCCCAATGTGTGCCTGCCCCTTGATTTTACACATTCATATTAATAAATTAAATATTCCCCTCTGTTTCCATATGCTAGAATTCTTGGTCAGACTTGAAAACACTTTTGCACAAGTCCTTGACAACCTCTAAACTATTCTTGGTCACACGTTTTTGAAAACCATCTTTCTATCTCTTCCTTGTAGGCCTGCCCAATGGGAGGCTGTCAGTCTCCTGAGTGCTCACTACTCACTCAACCACCACACAGAGGCACACTCACTCATCATCTGCTGCTCCCTGGTACCGGAAACACCCACTGAGCAAATTCTGCTGTTGGGCAGCACTTCCTGAAACAGTCACTACACACAAAAGATCTTCCCCTTCATTCCTTTCTGGTGCTAGTGAGAGCTAACTTATTTTACAGTAGGAAACGTCATCATTTCTTTGCAAAGATAGATCTTTACAAATGCTGACCAGGTGCTATCTGGTCCTACTCTATTATGAGGAAACAAACACAGAGAGCTCAGGAAACTTCTGCAAGGCTGCATAATGAATAGAATTCAAGTCTCCAGAGTATATTTTTCTTTTTTTAAATTTCAAGACAAGGGTTCTCTGTGTGGCCTTGGCTGTTCTGGAACTCACTCTGTAAACCAGGCTGGCTTTGGACTCACAAAGATCCGACTGCCTCTGCCTCGTGAGTGCTGGGATTAGAGGTGTGCGCTGCCACCGCCACCACCACCCGGCCAGAGTATATTTCTTAAGCCAGGTATGCACTTGGATGTGGAGACAAGAAAATCAGGGTCCAAGGTCATCCTCAGCTACATATTACAAGTTTTAGCCAATATAGATTACATGAGACTTGACCCTGCCTCAGGAATAAAACTAAACCAAAACAGAGTATATGCTCTTAACTTCTCAGCAATTGGGAATCCCTTCTCAGAGTTCACTGTGACTTTATTCAACAAAACATTTGCACTGTCCATGATGGTGACAGCCTCCAGAGGTCAGGCACCACGATAAACCTCAGGGAACAGAAGGGTGGGTCCACACTAGTCTTGAGTGGTCTAGAAAGTACCTCAAGGAAAAAAAGGGCCATGGGCGACTCCAGGAGGGATGCATGAACTTCTGGAGTGGACTGGAAACTGGAGAGAACTCAAGGATATTTGAGTTGTAGATGGAAGGAAGGTTAGGAATCAGAGGAGTGTGTAGCCAGCAAAGCTGGTGGGGGAGCATGAAGCAGGTATTAGAGCTGTGGGACCAGCAGACCCTTGTTTCTATTCCCTCCCTGGTGGACTCCCTCAGGCCAGTCATACCTTCTCTTTGAAGAGCTGCTGGATCTCTGGCACATAGCTCTCAGAGTCTGTGGCGATGTAGACTGACCTGGCATTCAGTGCCCTCACCCACAGCTTCACAGCCCGCTGGATTTCCTTAAGGTCAGGGAGGCACATGGTCATGGTGAGTGGGGTCGCTGTGCTGCGGCTGTAGCCCACACACTGAGGGGAAGCCATGAAGTGTGACCCTGCAGTTCCATCCTTCAGCATGGCACAGGCATTCTTCTACAGGGAGGGGTGGGCAGAGAAAAGTTAAGAGAAGTAGCTGTCTTGGACCTCAACACAGGAATGGTTAAGTGGGTAGGACTGACTACACAGGAGGAGGAAACTAGTACGTATACACCCGCACGCACGCACGCACGCACGCACACACCAAACCCAGGGCTTTGTAAATGCTAAACACCATGTTCTACCCCCTAACACACATATATTAATAGCATCTGTAATCCCAGCACTTGGGAGGTTGAGGAGACAGGATAAAGAAGTTAAGGCAAACCAGGGCTACACAGGATCTTGGAGAGGGGATATACCAAAACACCAACACTGGTTATTTCTGAGTGGGGTATGAAAAGCATTTTTCCACTCTCATTGTTATCTGGGACTTCAGTGGAGCTCAGCACTACTGATAAGGGGAGGCTTATCTGATTTCTGATGAGGTGGGACTTCTGATCACTCCCCTGAGGCACATGTTTGCTATGGTTCTGGAGAGATAGGCTTTATCTGGCTAAGGTGGGTCCAGGTTATTTCTGGCTAGTTATGAGTTTTTCTCATGCACTTGACTTTTATCAAGCTCTTTCTTGCCCTCTAATGAGATGATTACATGGTTTTTCTTCTTTGGGTATTAGAACAATGAATTTAATTCCTGGGATAGACTTTGCTTATTAATATTTTACTTTGGATCTGTGTTTCTATGTTTACCAATTAAGAAGTTTTATCTAAGTTTGGTTATTAGTTTAGGTTAGCTTTATTTTTAATAAAAAAACCTAAAAACCTTCTCTCTCTCTCTCTCTCTCTCTCTCTCTCTCTCACACACACACACACACACACACACACACACACACAAGGTTTTTGGTAGTACTGGGATAGAACCCAGGGCTTTGTGCATGCTAGGCAAACGCTCAACCACTAAGCTACACCCCCAGTCTTGAGCATCTTATGTTCCAGGAAGGTACAGATGGTACCTCACAGAATATTCTGAGCCCAATCCTTGGATCCTTTTCCTTACAGAGGGGACAGGGAGACTCTAGAGGCTAACTGTGAGAGTACTTCATCAATTACTATTAATCATGTGTGTGCTGATGGGAATAAGACTCTGGCCTGGCCTCTATGAGGCAAATGCTCTACCACTCAGCCACGCTCCCAGTTCCATTAATGAACTTTTGCTTCAGAACCTTCCGTTCTTCAATTATGTGCATCTCTTAACACATCTACATATCTCCCTAGGTATATGAAAGATACTGTCCGTAAAGATATGTTTTGTTTTGAATAAGCGGTAATCTGATGAGGTTTTAACACATTCACAGACTCCAAATTCTGGGAGGATAAAAATACCTTAACTTCCGAGGAGACCTACCTGGTTGCCACAGTCCACTCACTCTTTTTCTTTCCTTCCTTCCTTTCTGTTTTTCCCAAACAGGGTTTTCCTGTGTAGCCCTGGCTATCAATGGCCTCAAATTCAGAGATCTGCCTGCCTCTGCCCCAAGTGCTGGGGTAAAGATGTGCACCACAATCACCAGGCTCCACAGTTCACGTTTTCTTTTCTTTTGGGGGGGGGAGGAGGGGTGTGGCAGGTTGAGACAGGGTTTCTCTGAGTAGCCCTGGCTGGCCTCGAACTCACAGAGATCTGCCTGCCTCTGCCTCCCTGAGTGTTGGGATTACAGGCGTGCACCACCCCCACAGTCACATTTCATCTTCACCAGCAATCTAGTGGCTAACTGAAGTGGGACAGAGGATTCCTAGGCCAATGGCCTCTCTCTAGCTCTCTAGTTTGGTATCTGACTTAATGCCTCAGTTTACCCATTTGCAAACACAAGGGTACAAACAGCAGTTCTTAAATACTAGCTTTCCAGCAGGTACTCTAAATACATACTTCTGACATGTGCTGTAGTAATAAGATCATGCGATGTAATCCAGAGTTGGTAGAATTAGCTGCCTCTGCTCCAGGCTGAGACTTTCCACCAATCACTACATGCCTGGGCTCTGCTTAGGCAAATGTCAGCCAGACAGAGGAAGAGGAAGTTACCCAGTCGGAGCCAATGCGCAGATGAATGCCCACATAGGGCCGGATGAGGTGGGTGCTGATCTGGGCCTCTCCTGTCTTTACCATCTCATCTGACCACACCATGTACTTCTGTAGTGCCCTGTGTTCCTCTAGGATGGGGAACTGGGCTGGGGCCCCTGGCAGTGCAAGCACCGGATGTTCCTCTGGAGGAAATCTAGGCATAAGATGGACAAGGGGAAGTCAGACAGAATGCACAGACAACCCTGCTGCTACCCCCACGGGAAAAAGAATGGCATTGCACCATGTCCCAGAGACCCTGTGGGGAGGCCCCTATAACATGCAAGAGGCACAAAGGTTGTGAAATCTCAACGGGCTGATAAGAAACCTTGGTGGAGACAGCAGGCACAATATGCAATACTGTTCCTGCCGTACAGAATTTACAACCTCCTTTGCTTGTTTAACAATTAAAAATTTACAGTAGAGCATTCCAACATTTTATATATCGTGCTGGCTTCCAATCTGTGGTGTGGTAATTCATTCCAGGGTGGGGTGTCTGGACCAAGCCTTGCCCTTTTACCCACATGGCGGGACTGAGACATGAAGCTGCTTACACAGACAATGCTGGTTCCTCTCATATGGACTGTACACATGGGATTAGGCCAGTCACTCAGCACTTACCACATTCTTACTGATTGTCTGTGAAGGACCCAGGAAGAATGAGACCAGCATGACCCCTACCTACCCTCATGTGGTATACCAAAGGTCTGTAGATAAACTCAGCACACCCTCTCAAGAATCTTCCCCACTACACAAAATCCTTTCTGCAATTTTTTCAAATCTTCTCTTCTGCTAGGCCAGGCTCCAGTGGCAGTGTTTTCCATGTGCCTCAGCCACTGCTTGGAGCATGTGAGGGTTCAGTAAGTCAGAGTAGTAAACCCGTTTCCTTTTCAGTTCAACCCAGACTCCAGTCCAGCAACATAAAGCACTTTCTGATTCCAGACTCTGCATCTGTCTCCAACTGAAACATCTTCCCCACCCGCTGAAATCCCTTCTAGACATTACAACCAGGTGCAGCTACTCTGGAAATGTTTGCAGTTAGTTTCTCATGAAATTAGACATGCAACTATAATATGACCCAGTAATGGCACTTCTGGGCATTTATCCAGGGAAATGAAAACTTGTATTCACACACAAACATGTACACTAATGCTCACAGCAGCTTTACTCCAACTGCCCTAAACTGGAAACAACCCAGACAGAAATAACAGACATCCACACCATGAATAGCATAGCTACTGTCATAAAAAAGCATGGGCTATCAGCACAAGCTATGGCTTTTAAGGGAATTATTCTAAGTGAAAAAAGCCAATCCCAGCAGGGCACAAACCATATGACTCCATTTACATACTTTTTAAAGGACAAAGGGAGAAGAGGCCAATGGCTGCTGGAGTTAGGGATGGCCTAGGGAGGCAGGTATAGTAATAACCTTGCAATATAAAGATATTTACATTGAAAGAACCACTCAGTATCTTAATTGTGGTACTGGATATATAAACCTACACTAATTATACAAAACTAGCATATATATACACACAGTTGTATATAAGCTTAAGAAAAGACTATTTGAATAAATAGGACTATATAACTGTCAAGATCCTGGCCAGGATACAGAGTCAAGGGTATACAGTGAGATCTCTATAAACTGTTTACCACAAGTACATGTGGATCCATAATCACCTAAATTTTTTAAAATAAAAATTATGAAAGGGCTGGCAAAATGACCCATGGGATAAAGATGCCTACCTACCAAGCCATAGGACCTGAGCTCAATTCCCAGGCCCACAGGACAAAAGGACAGAACTGACTCCAGTAAGTTGTCCTCTGTATGCTGCCCTTCCAAACCAATGAAATGAAAGGAACACACACACACACACATCACACACACACACACACACACACACACACACATTATAAAACATCATGGACTACTGTAAATCCTAAAACAACTATGGGAAATAATTCACAGGCCCATAGCCTACATCAACAGACACTAATAATGTATTTTGTTTCAGAGTTTAAATACATACGCAACTAGGGTTGTGAGATGGCTAAAAGGGTAAAGTCATTTGCTACCAAATCTGAGGACCTCAGCTGATTCCCTGGAATCCACACTCAATGCAGGAGTGAACCAACTCCTGTTAGATATCCTCTGACACACACACATACACATACCCCAAAGTAAATTTTAAAAAATAAATAAAAGCAGTATCTTACCACCTCTTTCCCTTCTTTTTTCTCCCTGAAGACGTTTTCGTGTATGAGTCCAGCCACCATCCATCCATGCCTTAATATGTCTGCATAACAGAGCTGAGAACAGTCCTACCTCATAACACCATTAAAAAACACATCTACAGCCGGGCGTTAGTGGCACACGCCTTTAATCACAGCACTCGGGAGGCAGAGGCAGGCAGATCTCTGTGAGTTTGAGGCCAGGCTGGTCTACAAAGAAAGTTCCAGAAAAGCCTCCAAAACAATACAGAGAAACCTTGTCTCAAAAAAAAAAAAAACAAAAACCAAAACCAAAAACCAAAAAACACATCTACACATTTAAGAAATACAACATGAAGTTTTGTATGCAATGATCAGCGCAGTCAAGCTAATTAATATACCCATTTATAGGGCTATTGAGAGGATTAAGTGGATTAATATATGCAAAACCTTTAGAGCAGTACTTGGCACAAAGAAAGGTCTTACAAAATCCTGGGCATCATCATCATGTTACATATAACCTAGTTCGACTTTTAAAAGATTTAACTTTGTTTGGTGATTGGACCATGTTGATCATAGAGATCACACGATCATGATGACATCTCTTGAAAATTTCCAGTTTGCATGAGTAAATCCTGTTAGCCAGCAAGGCTATTTCATCCTCCACGCACACCACACAAGTGCAATGCACCTGCTGCCCATTCCTCACACTGACCCAAACACGTTGTGCAGCAAATGCCTTCCAAGCCTCCAGATGGGTCACCACTCACATGCCTCAGCTCCTTGTCCTCTGCATGCTGACAGGCTCAACAGCCATCATCTCTGCTGCCAGAACTAGAAAGCACTGAGGACAGTGGCCCTAGCAGTCTCTTTACCGTGATTTCCCCAGACACTGGTCAGAGGCCTATGCTGTGATAGCAGCAATCAAGCGTCCCTCCACAGTCTGGCACGGTATGATGTTTGGCTGACTGGACTCTAAGTTTCTGTTTATGTGTATATACTCGGCAATAATGTACTGAGTCATATTATGTGAGAAGCAATTGCTTTATTTGCATATTAACTCATTTAATTCCCACAAGAGCCTTGTGAGGAAGTGTGCCTACTATTGTCTTACTGATAAAGAAGCTAGACATAAAGAAGCTGAGCGGCAGTCAGTCACAGGGTGGGAGCTGGTGAAGCAAGGTTTGCATTCAGGCCGTCTGCTTCACTATTTGTTTTTCAATTTTAAAGGTGTATGTGTATGTATGTGTATCTGAGTGTCTGTATGTACATACCTGTGGAAGAAAGAAAGTGCCAGATCTCCTGAAACTAGAGTTAGCAGGCAGTTGTGAGCTGCCTGATATGGGGGCTGGTAACTGAACCCGGGTGCCCTGCAAAAGCAGCAAGTGCTTTTCTTTTTTTTTGTTGTTGTTTTTTGTTTTTCAAGACAGGGTTTCTCTGTGTAGCCCTGGCTGTCCTGGAACTAGCTCTGTAGGCCAGGCTGGTCTTGAACTCACAGAGATCTGCCTGTGTCTGTCTCCTGAGATTAAAGGCATGTGTCCTGTGTCCAGTAAGTGGTTTTTTTTTTTTTTTTTTTTTTTTTAAAGTCAGCCTCCCTATGTTGCTCTGGCTGTCCTGGAACTTACTATGTAGACTAGACTGGTTCTGAGCTCAGAGATCCTCCTGCCCTTGCCTCCCTAGTGCTAGGAGCCATCATGCCTGGCTCAGCCAGTGCTCTTAACCAGTCCTACTAGCTGTGGTCTTGACTCCTAAATCCTACTTTCATCTTCCTACCCAGTCAAGGAGCACCTCCTCAAAGGGGAATGAAGCTTACTTTTCTGAGCAGCAGCTCCTAGCACAGGCAGCAGGTGCCATAAATATTTTTAGAATTGAATGTGGGGGGCCAGGGGCCTTATAAAAATATCAAGGCATGCTGACAGAGGTAGATAAAGGAGGAAGAAACTAATCTTGTTTGAGCACCCTACTATGGGCTAGGCCCTAGGCTAAGCTCTTTTCAGACATCACCTCAGGGGCCTCTGAAAGGAAAAGAAGCTTTCTGATTTGATGGGTAGTGAGTCACTAGGATAAATTGGGATTTATGTCCTTCCTGCTCTCTTGGGAAGAGCTTGGAACTTACCCTTGGTGAATTCCAGTTTTGGAATGTCTATCCCTATGCCCTGAACCTGGGCCAGCAGAAAGTTGTCCCAGTAGGACCACATCAGCTGTGATTCAACAGCAACAAGAGGTCAAGACTCAGCTGCTCATTCTCCCTCAGTGGCATCTGATTAGAAAGAGCTGGAGAAAGGTCTTGGTTGCAAAGAAAACCTAACCAACTCCACCAGCTAACCTGACCATTCATTCTAGGTCAGTCTTAGGCTGGCCACTATTCCAGAGGAAGACTGGCTTCCTGCTGCTGAACCTGGTAAACTTCAGGGGTACATCATCATCAAACCCTGGCTACTGAGGTCCTCTAGGCTCAGCATACATTTATGGGACCAGTAGTTGATGCCAGGCTGAGTAGAGAGGACACAGACATAAACAAGGCAGAATCTTGCTTTCAAAGTCCCTGCCATGAAGGACACTTTCTTTCCTGCTGTTTGCATGGGAGCTCTGGGTTAGCCTTCACGTCTTCATAAATTCAACCATGTAGACCCTGCCAATCACACATGACTTATTTTTTCTCAAAGAGGCTGCAGTCTGGGAGAATGATCAGCAATGTACTACAGTTTGGATATGAAATCTTTCAAAGCCTCATGTGTTGAAGTCTTGGTCCCCAATGCAGCACTGTCCAGAGGTGACTAGAGCATGAGATCTCCAACCTTACCAATGGGTTAATTCACCAATGGATTCATAATTGAATGGACTATTGGGAGGTGTGGTTTAGCTGGAGAGAATAGGATCCAGAGGGAATGCCCTTAAAGGTATTGTCTTATCTCCTTGGCTCTTTCTGCTTCCTGTCCACCATGTGAGCTGTTTTGTTCCATCACATGCTCCTAGCCATAATGCCGTGCTTTATTACAAGCCCAGCAGTAGCAGAACCAAGTGACAATGGATTGAAGCCCTTGAAACCTTTCCTTTTTTAAGTTTATTTTCTCGGGTATTTTGTCATAGGACAGAAAGCTGCCATCATATACTCAGACACCTGCTCTTTATACATGAAGATAATTTCAACACAATGGTCGACATACTTCCAAGAGCAAATAAACATACATTATCTAGGTCAGGTAGTGGTGGCGCACGCCTTTAATACCAGCACTTGGGAGGCAGAGGCATGTGGATCTATGTGAGTTCGAGGCCAGCCGGGTTTACAGAGTGAATGGCAGGACAAGTTCCAAAGCTACACAGAGAAACCCTGTCTTGAAAAACAAAACAAAAAAACCCAGAAGAAAAATCAAAACAAAACAAAAACTCGATATCTGTTGAACTGTTGAAGCTCTATCACAGGGTTAGATTGAGAACCAGCAGAGCTGGAAGGATCTTCTGAATCCATGTGGTGGGAGATGAAAAAGATGAACGGCTAATCAAACTGTGTCATTCGGCTTTAGTGGGAGTGAGATTTGGACACATAACTTTGATACTGACAAACCTTGAAGACAACATGCTATATGAATAAGTTGGACACAAACAGGCAAATACTACATGACTGCCCATCCAATGCTTGAGGTTCCTAGAATGCGTGAGTTCAGAGTCAAAGTAGAATGACTTGTACCAGGCAGGGGAAGTGGAGAGTGAAAATTAGCCTGTACTGAGTAGTGTCTCTGGTTGAGAAGAAAAAGTTGTGAAGGTGGAGGGTGGCAACGCACATCAAGTGACTGAGTTGTACACTTATAGTGCTTTTAAAAAGCCATTGAGCTGGGCATGGTGGTGCACATCTGTAATTCTAGCTCAGGAAGAGCACTGAAGTTAGAGGCCAATCTGCTCTACATAGTGAGTTGCAGGCCAGAACTTGCTTAAAAACGAAAACAAAAACAAAAAAACAAAAAACAAAAACAAAACAACTTCATCAACATAAATATACATACATATAATGCTAGTCAGTCACTCTTTTGAACTCTCATATTTTCATGTTTGAAATGGACCCTGCTAGTATTACTATTTACAAGTCCAGACCAGCCTGAACAAACATCAAATTTAATTAATGCATGTAGGTATGTATATAGATATAAAAATGCAGAACAGCAAATGCACTTACTAAAGTGCTGATGGTGCTCCTGCAGTAGTGGAATTATGAACACATTTAGTTTTGCTGTTTTGTTTTTGGACAGGGTTTCATGTAGCCCAATCTGGATTTAAACTTACTATGTAGCTCATGCTAGCCTTAAACTCCTTATTCTCCTGTGTCAGCCATCTGAGTGTGAGAATCACAGGTGTGAGCCTCCATGCCTGGCAATTTGTTTCTTTATGAAAACAAAACAAAAACAAACCCTCCAAAAACTATCTAGTCTGTGGTAGATATTCTAAACCACTCATTCCAACAAAATAAAGGTTAACCTGGATTTAAACTTTGTATAGCAGAGATTCCATAAAGACAATGGAGAACAAGTTCAAAACAAAACAAAAATACCCAAGCTAAAAGACCTGTCCAAGCCAATGATGGTGCACACCTTTAATCCCAGCACTCAGGAACCAGATAGGTGGGCAGATCTCTGTGATTTCGAGGCCAGCCTGGTTTACAGAGAGTGTTCCAGGACAGCCAGGGTTACTGAGAAAAGTTGTCTAAAAAAACAACCCCCCACCCGCCCCCACTCCCTCCCCACAAAGAAGAAATGGGTTTTTTAGATCAGACTTGTTCAGCTCTGCTACCTCAAGCTTCATGAACTTTTTTTGTTTGTTTTTGTTTTTTGAGACAGGGTTTCTCTGTGGCTTTGGAGACTGTCCTGGAACTAGTTCTTGTAGACCAGGCTGGTCTCTAACTCATAGAGATCCTACTACCTCTGCCTCCCGAGTGCTGGGATTAAAGGTGTGCGCCACCACTGCCCAGTCTGCTTCATGACCTTGGACAAGTGACTTTATGATTCTCTGCTTCCTCTGTATTATGTGTACATCTTAGATGACAATACCACCCCAAATATTCATTAATCCTGAGTTTAAACCTACCAAGACTTAGGAACAGTGTGGCATACAGCAGGTACAAAATATATGTTAGCTTTTACTATTTTAAATATTCACATGCAGATGCAAGTTGGCTATGTGGCAGTCTTGGGTGGGTTATTTATCTTCATTGACCTCAATGAAGTCCTGTAAAACTGCGGACTGAAGGAATGGGTAATTCATTGGTAGAGGGCTTGCCAACATGTGTCATGTCCTGAGACTAATCCCCAACATTCTCAGGAAATTTCTTATAGACATAATTAGCATAAGCATGTGAAGGACAGTTGACTGGTTGCTTACACTTTCTGTACTAGGAAGTCAATACTTCAATGCTTTTTCCATTAAACCAAGGCGGAAACTGGGAATAGAGACCTGGAATGGTTTTTCAGTCTCCCAAGAAAGAGGCAAAGCTAGGTCTGAGCTCAGTGTTCAATCCTGTCTCTATTGTAGTCTACTGCTGGCCTACTAAATGTTAAGTTCATGACCACTCAATTCACATGCTCCTCTTACCCCCTAACCTAATGTGCTTTTTTCCCCCTCAAGACAGGCTTTCTCTGTGTAGCCCTGGCTGTCCTGAAAAAACTCTCTGTAGACAAGGCTGGTCTCAAACTCAGAGATCTGCCTCCTGAGTGCTGGGATTAAAGGCACAGACTACCATGCCTGGTTTTTAATCTGATTTATTTTGTGTGGTGTCTGTGGTTCTACGGACAAGCCCAGGACCTCATATATGCTAGGTGAGGTCTGTAACAGCCCCTATTCTGACATCTAAGCCCAGGCCCTTTCCTGCCATGCTAGAGCAACAATGACAGACTCCCCATGTAAGTTTATCAATCTGACTAGATTGTGGTTCTCCAAGACCAGGGCTGGGTCATCCTCATTTTTATATACACCTTTGGTCTCTGAATATTGTGTCTCACACATGACAGACGCTCCATAAATATTTCACAGCTTGTGCCTGTGTCCTGCTAACCTATTTTTTTTAAATAGGGCCTATGGCACACAATTAATAAAGCCTAGCTAGTAATTATGAGGGTGACATCACTTCTCAGTCTGCACCTGAGCTGTTCTCCAGGCAATGCTTCCAGATTTCACCTTATGAAGAGGAAGACAACAGTAGAGTGATTCTCACGCCTGGAGGAGGAAATAGACATGCATGTGACTGAACAATGTTCTTTTTATGACATCCCTTATCAGCTGAGAAACTCTTGCTCAACCTTGGGGCAGGTCAACATCCCGCTGTGTCAGGCGATGAGATGGAAACAGATCACATAGGATCCCAAGTTCAACAGACAGAAAGAACACAGTGCTTGTACCTTTGGTCTCTTACAAGAGGGTGGGGTAGAGCTGGAAAGACAAGGAAGGAGTTGGATGCCCCTGAGCCTCAGCCCTCCCTAAACTCAGTACTGCTATCCCCTCCAAGTACCTCTGGATCCATTGTTCTTTGTAGGAGGCACTGAAGGAAATGCCTGTGAACAGCTCCGACTTATTGAAACTCACATGAAACTGGTCCCAGAAAGGCCCAAAGGGATTTCCTTCCTGCAAAAAGAGAGTAGTGGAAAGTTTACTCAACAGGAAGGAAAGCTACCTGGGGATAAGGCCAAAGAATTGCTGAGACCAAGGGCCCTGGGAGATGGGTGGTTTGACACCTGGTAAAGAATTGTTATAGGATGGCTCCTTGGCTGGAGGCCGAGGGAAAGGCTGATTCTTCTCTTTTGGTTTCCAGCTGTGTTTGAAGGAATCTATTCTGTTCACATTTCAAATTCTACTAACTCTGTAGTGATGGGGCAAGGAGGATCTTGGGCTGGAACTATGAACTAGAACAGTGGTTCTCAGCCTTACTAAATGCTGCAACCCTTTATAATACAGATCTTCATGTTGTGGCGACCCCCCCCCAACCATGAAGTTATTTTTATTGCCACTTCATGTGATTTTGCTACTGTTATGAATAATATAAATATCTGTGTTTTCTGACAGTCTTAAGGACCCCTGTGAAAGGGTCATTTGACCCAAAAGGGGTAATGACCCACATTTTGAGAACCACTAAACTAGAGCTTTAAGAGGCTAAGAGGCTAATACAGTATGCTACACTTTTTTTTTTTTTTTTTTTTTTGGCTTTTTGAAACAGGGTTTCTCTGTATTGTTTTGTTTTGGAGCCTGTCCTGGAACTCGCTCTGTAGACCAGGTTGGCCTCGAACTCACAGAGATCTGCTTGCCTCTGCCTTCCGAGTGTGGGTATTAAAGTAGTGCACCACCAAAGCCTGGCCAGTATGCTACTTTTTAAGGTGGAATCAGACTTATAAAGGTAAGACATGTGCCCAAGGTCAGGCAGCTGGTAAGGGTAACATAGGGGGATACAAGTTAGGCCCTTTCAAAATTTATAGCTTTTCTTCCATTTATACCAAAAGATAAATGGGGTGTATCATATTTACAAAATACCAGAAATGCAAATTTCTACTAATTATCTACAACAGTTCCTCATCTACCTGATACGAAGTGGGAGAGCATTCAAGTTAAGAGAGTGTACAACAAGCCAAGTTACACCATGCTGGCCGTGACTCCCTTTGAGTACCGGCCTTTTTTTGGGGGGGGGGTTGAGATAGGGTTTCTCTGTGTAGCTCTGTAGACCAGGCTGACCTGGAACTCACAGAGACCCGCCTGCCTCTGCCTCCCGAATGCTGGGATTAAAGGCGTGCGCCACCACCGCTTCGTGACTCCCTTATACCATTAGGACCTTCTTCAAGGAACAGTCTGAGGAGTAAAGGGGTGAATATGCATCCAGCTGCCAGCATAGAACCTGGCACGTGGGAAGCTATGCGGGCTTTAGTTACGATTACCCACAGCAACGACCTCAATCCGTAGGTGCTCTTACATACAGCCTACTCTCTATGAGCCAGCTAGATCGATCAGGCAGTAACAAACTTCAGAGAAGAACAGTGTCCCAAAAATGACACTGCTAACAAATGCCAGAAACAGACCAAATCCCCATTTTCTCCCATATTGCCACCTGAAGGGCCTAGAGGACACAGAACAGTCTACCTTCATGGGACATGTCTTCTTATCAGGACTTCGCTGGGCTGCCACCTCAAAACAGTATGCTACCCGCTTCTCAGGGGGCCAGTGCACGGGGGCCAGCTTTTCCATGAACTCCTCCAGGCTAACAACACGATGGTAGGCTTTCAGGGGCTCCAGCTTGAAATACTTCTGGTAGGACACATGGAGCTAAAGGAAAAAAGGAGGGGTACAGGTCTCCATAGTATTCTCGTTACTAAAAAGTACAAGCTCTAACACCCAGACTATGTGATATGAGAGACCTATAATGGGCTTTGGATCAAGCTCAGTGGTAGAGGTCCTGCCTAGCATGCATGGAGCATTAAGCTTCATTCCTATTACAACAGCCACAACAAGACACCAAAGTTACGACAAAAACAAACTGAGAGAAGCTGTCATCCAGCTCAAGAACTAGCAGCAGCACCTCTGGTGTTCAAAATACCTGATGAGCTACAAACAAAGACAGGCAAGTAATACAGTAAACATCTCATAGCAAAGGAAACACATCCAGCCCATATATTCAAAAGATGTGCAGCCTCACTAGTAGTTACAAAAAGGTAAGCTGCATCTGTAAAGGCTTTACTTTTCTCATTAGAGCAGAATTTTAAAGTAAGCTCTCATCATTGGAACAAATGCACAACATTGAGCTCTATGGCCCTCTGTACAGGGCTGCTGGTAGAAGTGCCTGCTTTGGAACAGCTACTTGGGGTCTGTATCCACAGCACGACATGCTCCTTCTATAGGAGGTATTTATCCTAGAGAGGCTCTCGTACTTTCTACAGGAGATGCAGATGACATCATTCCATGACTCAGTGGGAGCACAGGAAAGAAGCAGGAGTCATGTCATAAAGTCTGTCAGGGCAGTTTCCTCCAGGGAAGAAAGACCAGGTTTAGCAAACTTCTCATCGGCTTTACCTACAATGTGTTGTTTGTTTGTTTTTGTTTTTGTATTTTTCAAGACAGGGTTTCTCTATGGCTTTGGAGGCTGTCCTGGAACTAGCTGTTGTATGTCAAACTGGTCTCGAACTCACAGAGATCCACCTGCCTCTGCTTCCCTAGTGCTGGGATTAAAGGCATGTGCTACCATACCTGCAGCTCGGGAACCTTTTTACTGTTCCTGAACTACTGGGATATGTTTGGGAAACCTTAACCTGTAGAATGGAATCCGAATTCTGTTCCATGGTATCTTAAGAATCTATTTAAGTCGGGAGTTGGTGAATCTCTGTGAGTTCGAGACCAGCCTGGTCTACAGAGCAAGTTCCAGGACAGCCTCCAAAACAATACAGAGAAACCCTGTCTCTTAGAAAAACCAAAATAGAAAAAAAAAAAAAAAAGAGAATCTATTTAAATTACATTTCTTTTTCTTTTGTTTGATTTTGGTTTTTTTGAGATAGTCTCATGTAGCCCAGGCTGATCTCAAATTTGCTATATTAAATGACTTTTAATTCCTGCCTCTACCTCCAAAGTGCCAGGATTACAGGTGAGTTCAAAGCCACCCTGGTCTACAGAGAGAGTACCTGGACAGCCAGGGCTACACAGAGAAACCCTGTCTCAAAAATCAAACATATAAATAAATAAACAAGGCTCCAGTGCTGGGAGATTAGGAAATCTGTTTTAAACTGGCTCTACTGCAGCAGGACTTCTCAGGCCTTTGCTGTGCTACTGTATATTCTCAACCTAAAAGCTTGGGACAATGGGAATTGGGACTAGTATTTCTGACTGGGATTTTTTAAGAGACAGGGTCTTACTATATCCCTAGCTAGCCTGGTACTTGCATGCAGTTCAACTGGCCTTGAGCTTACAATCTTCCTGCCTCAGCCTCCAAGTGCTAGACTTATAGGCCTTTATCACAGCCTGGTCTACAGAGTGAGTTTCAAGACGGGCTCCAAAGCTATACAGAGAAACCCTGTCTCAAAAAAAAAGTTTTTCAGGGGCAGGGGTGCAGCTTGGTGGTAGAGCATCATTTTCCTAGGATTTGTAAGACCTATTCCTATTCCTAGTACTGCAGAGAGGGTAGACGCCTTTCCAAAAAAGAGGTATGCATGCAAAGGAGAAAATAAAATATATGCAGAGAAAAACCATTAGAATTAAATATGGTGTTTTGTTCATGCTAAGTATAATGTTGTTAACTACTTAAACTTTTAAGGCCAGTTCCTTCATCCAGGTCCCTGGGGACAGTCAACAAAAGGAAACAGAGGGCTATTGGAAGACACAAAGAATAAACTAAATATCAGAGAACGATGAGACTATCATGCCCAGGGAGCCCCTCGACTGTATGAGAGGCAGCTGCCTGGGATGGTAGCCTTAGACATACTAACTAAGCCACACCTCAGTCTCTCGTTTATAATTGATATGAGTACTTAATACCTATTATTGACCAATAGGATGTACATAAATAAGGTGGGATGAATCAGCACTGGAAATGGAGACTTCAGTTTCAAGACAGCCTCCAGAAGTACACAGCCTTGGGGTTGAATGCAAGTACTACCCACAGGCTGTTCAATCTTAGGCAAGTTACCTCACCCCTCTAAACCTGGGTTTCCTCGAGGATGAGCTACGGGAAAGATGAGCTAATCCTAATGCAGTGTTCAGACAGTGCCAGCACATGGAGGCTGAGGTCGCTATTTCAAGGAAGACAATTCTAAGAAGAGAACAGAACAAGCCTAGAGTGGAAGGAAAACCCAAAGGCCTTGGAGTCAAGCAAGTCAGCCAGCACAGGGAAGGGTGGACAGGGGCCGAGGCCAACATAAGTACTCACATTAGTGAAAGGAGGCTTGTGATGCTGGTACTCGATCCATGGAGGTACAGCCAAGGTGCGGTTCAGCAGCTTTGCAAATGCCAGAGAGCCCAAGAAGTGATCGGCCTGGTTCCCAAAGCGCCCTGGAAATGGAACATTGAGGGTAGAGTGGCCTGGGTCACTAAGGGCATGGTGTATGAAGGGCTCAGAGAAGATGTGCATCCAAGATGGTGGAGGGCCATTCACCAAAGTGAGCTAGTCACACTGGCACCACAGAGTAAGTCTAGACTTCCACACCGATACTGAAGGCCCTACAGGTCCTGCTCCTTCTACCTCAGTCACCCCAGATTCCATGCTATTTCCCTATCGTGTTCTACAATCCCTTCTCTACATGTTTTCAGGAATTTCCTTCACTTTTCTTCACTTACTTGTACTTGGTGATCCTGATACCTTATTTGCTAAGATATTTTCATCAATTCTTATCCAATTCTCTTGCTCTCAGCATGGTTTGAATTACTTTTTCTTTTTTCTTTTTTGAGACAGGATCTGTGTAGTCCTGGCTGGCCTGGAACTTGTTCTATAGACCAGGCTGTTCTTGAACTTGTGACAATCTTCCTCCTCTATATCCTAAGTGCTAGGATTACAGTTGTGTGATCAGATTATATATTTATTTATGTGCTGGGGATTTAACCAAGGATCTTAAACATGTTGGGTACTTTACCACTGAGCTATAGCCTCAACTTGGGTTATTTGCATTTGTAATTTCCCCATCAAATATCTCTTTTCACTTTCTGGCTGTTTGCATCGGCTGTCATCAGGTTTTTTTGTTTGTTTGTTTCCTTTTTGTCAGAATCTCACTATGTAGTCTTGGCTGCTCTGGAACTCTCTACGTAGATCAGGCTGGCCTGAAAGTCACAAAAATCCACCTGCCTCTGGCTTCCAGTGCTGAGATTAAAGCTGTATGCAACCACACTTAGCTATCATCAATATGGCAACCATTCATCCATTGCAAAAGTACTGCAAGGCCAAAATGTGCCAGATGTTACAATATAAAATGTTAGATGTTACAATATAAAATCAAGCAAGGATAAGAAGATCTCTGCTCTCCAGGCACTCAGTCCTAATTCAAGTAAAGAGACGCTAACCCTGAAAACAAATTCATTAAGGTAGATTTTGATAGTTGTAAGGAAGAAACAAAAATGATGGGGAGACTAATGAAACACTTGAGTAGAGGTCAATGGACACCGACGATGATATTCAAGAATGGGATGGGGGAGAAATTAGAGGAGGGTGTTCCAAGAAGAAGGAATAGCTCACAGACTTTCGTGTGTCTGAGGAACAGAAGAAAGTAGGCTAGTGTGGTTGTAGGTGGAGGCCCAAAGGAGAAGGGGTGTGGAGAAGACCAGAGTGGAGCCAAACCATGCAAGATGGTGGCCATGGCCAGTTATGCACACCACTGAAGGGTTTTTAAGAAGGAACGGATTTTACAGTGATGATCCACTACTTCATTTAAAATGCATCTCTGGCCTAGTTCTCTTAAGAGTCCTTGTTATCTTTTCGTACCTCAGTTTTTATCATCTTGTACCAAATTATTCACGTACTTAAAAAAAAACTTTATTTTATTGTCGGTCTCCCTAAATGAAGGATCTACAAGGGCATGTATGAGGTTTATCTGTCTCATTCATCACCAGCACAAAAGACAGCGCCTGGGACCCCCCAAAAAAAGTGGCACATAAATATTTGCTGAATGAATGTAAGAACTGCCACGAGACAGCGCCGCCAAGTCTTGCCCTACAAACTCCTTTACTTGGTCTCCCAGTCGGATTAGACTTCGAGTGAGTCACTTAGCTTCTCCCGTCCGACGAATGGCAAATTGAACACTGCTGGCCCCTCTGTACCCATGCAACTAGGGCAGCGAAAAGCATGCCCTGTCCCACATCAGAGGTCTCTCCTCCGCCTCCCCGGCCTCAGTTTCTCCATTTGAGCAGGGGGCTCGAGAGGCCTTACCCATGCAGGGACAGTAGAGCAGGTAACCGGCCAGGTCCCAGGAGCCGGCCGACCACCCCGGGAGCGGCAGCAGCAGCAGAAGCAGAAGAGACACCCGCAGCAGCAGGTGTGGCGGTGCCCACGCGGCGGCGCCCATGTCGGCGGCGGAGCCCCAGAGCGTCGCGGCTGGGAGGCGGGGAGGGGGGAAAACAGAGGCGCGAGTGGCCGCCCCGCTCCCGACGCTCCCCGCGCGCCGCCCGCGCGCCGGCTGGGACGCTCTAGCCCGCGGGCGGGCGGGACCATAGAGAGCCCGCGGCACCGCCCCCTCCACGACCCGAGCGCCCGCTCGCGCGGCTCCCACAATGCACCGCACAATGGCCCGACCGCCGCCACTACCGGGGCCTGAGCGGGCCTGGCGGAGCCCGAGCGCGGCCCGGCCCGCAGCGCGGGGTCCCGAGCGCAGTGAGTGCCGGCGAGGGTCCTGGGGGATGGCGGGGAGCGGGGCGGGAGGCCGTCGCGCTGTGCCCACACGCCCGGCACTCGGAGCGGTGGCGCCCCTCACCTCGGGCCGCTCAGCGCGGTCGCCCACACCCCTGACTGGGGGCCCCCTCTGCGCCAGTCGGGCCCCGGATAGGCCCCGTGGTGACGAAAACGCTCCCGGGACCTCAGACCTGAGCCCGGGGGACCGGAACAAGTCCTTCAGGCTCCTTCCATTACGTAGACCTGGAGACTCAGCCCTGAGGGTCCCCCACTGTCGACCCCCCGCCCCAGACTCCTTGGAGACCCAGATAACACGCTGCTGACCTTCCTCGGGATCGCGGTCTGGGGGCCATAGATAAGCTGCACCTGCTCCCTCCCTCGGACACGCCTACCCCGACCCACATAACCCCCTTTCCTGCTCCAAATAGTACTCTCTTTGCTCTTTCGTTTTCCCGACTTTCATAAACTTACTTTGAGGCTTCTCTCCAATACCTCGGTCCGAAGAACCCCAAATAAGGTCCTACCTGTAGTTGCCTCCCCAGGGACCATATTGAGGAAACTTCAGACATTTTCCCATCGGGAGGGGCCCATTTCTAGACCCTCTTGAAATTGAGAGAACTCACTTGTGTCTTCAGGCCCCCGGAACCTCTTTTGATCTTTAGAATCCCCATCTCTTTCTCGTGTGGTCTCTTAGAGACCCAAATAACGTGTTCGTGATTCTTTACCGTGCATACTTGCTCTTTGCGTTTCTGAGACCCTATCTAGACTTAGTTCTGAATTCTCATCCTTTCTCCCCACCCTCCCAGCCCCACCTTCCAATGGCAGGGAGAATTTAACATTTCACACCGCAAAGCGGGCTGATCCAGCAGACTGTTTTCTTACCACTCTAGCTCCGTGCTGTGGTCCACCTTGGGACAGAAGGGGAAAGGGCCCTGGCTACTGCGGAGTTGGTTTTCACCTGCTAGCATACCCTGACTCCTGGCTTGTGTGTTTTTCCACCTGTCAGCCTGGGACTGTGATAAGTCTGGCCTTGGTTTCTTACCCTCTCCTCCCAAGGAAAGGTGGCTGAGTTGTGTGTGTGTGTGTGTGTGTGTGTGTGCTCGCGCGCGCGCGTGTGTGTGCGTGCAGGGGGGGAAGGGGGTTGTAGGTGAAAATGAGGCCTGAGTTGCAGCCATTTGCTCAAGGCCTCCCCAGGGGTGGGAGGCAGCAGGAATCTGAGGAAATAGGGAATCAAAGGGACTCCAAAGAGACCCGTCTACACTGACAGAACAACTAGCAGCCCGAGAGTAAATCCTGCCCCTGTTAATCCTGTTTGATGTTTCTTGGAATGATGCAAGTCATTGAGACTCTCCGGCCTCCCTGTAATTTAATTCTCCCACCATTCCGGAGTGTTGTGTGTGCGCTGGTCTCTGGAAGTGGGCAGCTATTCCCAACCCTCCTTCCCTTCTTGCTGTTTTCCAGCCAACTAGTGTGCCTTTGAATTTGTTTCTGTTGTCCAGGTCAAGGCCTGCTTTGTTTTCCCTTCTAACACTATTTATAATTTCCCAGTTGCTATTTTAAGTTCTTTTGTGGGAAGATTCCACCTCCAAGAACCTTTCTGGGTGTGTTTCCTCCTAGGCAGGTGTTGAATTGAGTTCTTCAGATCCCCAAGTAGCTCTTGGGCAGGAGGGATGAAAGCTATTTTAGGGCAGTCACTGAAGTGGAGCTGTTAATCCTCTGTGGGTCTCTTTAGTTAAGAACACTCAGAGATTAACCCTTTCCTTGCTGCAGAGACTGCTGGCTAGTTCAACGTTATTTGATGGGGAGAGTTGAGAAAACTAGATTGGCAACAGGAGGTGGGAATTCAAAATTCAATATAAAGTCTAGGATAATAACTTTCTTTTGCTGGGCACTTTGAGTAGGCCAAACCCAATGCTGAGCTTTTTTCATACCTGACTAAAATAATCCATACAACCAGACTGTGAGGTAAGTATTTTTAGCTTTACAGATGAGGAAACAGGCTAATAATGGAGAAAGAACGCAGTTTCTATAGAGATGATGTAACACCATAAAAACTATAGTTTCATCAGAGGGCAGCCTACATCACAGCACTACAGAAGACAGACCAGAGCTTCCAAAGGCCATACAGAGTATTGAGCAAGCATTCTTACTTTGGGTATGGAGCTTTAATAATAGAAGAGGGTGTGATAAAGTGGCCATCCAGGCAAGAGAAAACTTTGTCCCAGGAGATGTGCTGGAGGAAGGTAAAGGGCTTGTGCTGAGGGTTAACAGTGAGGGAAAAGAGGAAGGCTGAGTTCTGAGATGTTGGGAAGGGAAGGAAACTGACTTTGAGGCATGAGAAGTAACACTAGGAGGGAGAGAAAAGTTGTACTTGGCATTGCTGAAGAATGGCAGCAGTCGTGTGGCCCTCATGGGCTTCATGTGTTCACATTTTGGGTCACTCCCAAGAGCGCCTTTTCACTTCATCCTCTAGAAAACAATTGCAAGTTAAGAGAATGAGTCTCTTTCAGAAGATGAGGAGAAATGAAGTAACCTGTCTGTGATTTCACAGCCCGTGAGTGGTGGCCCTTCTGATAGCAAGTCCAAGGTTCTTCCCGTGCTGCCTCCCCCTTCAGATCAGATGCCAGAAGAATCTTGGGCTGAAAATACACTGACTTACACCAGTAACTGGGAGGGATTGTGTTTGTTTTATGGAAACAGGTTCTGTCAGCTTCTCCATAGCTACGGTTAGAGTGTGAGACCAGAAGAACAGCTTTGAAAGAGAAGCAAAATTCTTTCAGTTTTGACAAGAAGTCTGAAGGAATAGGTCTGATTGTATGAATCAAACCCAGGAATTTTTCTGCATCAGAGGAGTATGCAGACAGAGGACACAGAAAAGTGAGACTAGATCTTCAAAAGATTCCTAGGTAACACCAGCAGCTGTGACTGCCTAGCAGCCTGGTGGCCCCTGGTTGTAGATCAGGATCTTGCAGAGCTTTTTTAGAGGCCTAGGGAAGTGGGATCAAGGTGGTGGCCTTTTTCTTCTAATGCCATAACCTCATTAAAGCTGATCAAGTTGAGCACATGGCTCCCACCTTGCTCCTTTGGTTCTAACTGAATAGCTAGCCTGTTTCCTAGAATCCCATTACTCACTCTTTCAGTACCAGCAAGCTAAACTGCTGTGTCTTGTTTGTGCATGTTCAACAGAACAGATGAGGTGGACGTGTGGGAGGTGGGGATGTACCATTCTCTTTCTGAGTTTGTGCGGAATTTCCAGAGCTACGCTCCCCCTCACATCAGCCAGAGTGATGTGACTTGCTTTCTTCTAACTGCCATTCCCAACTTCCAAAGGCCAAGATGCATGATTTAGATATAAAGTTGGAGCATAATTTGACTTTGAAGGTACGGGAAATTCTCTCTAAACTAGACATGCATACTTGGAGCTCCTCTATCCAGTTCCAGGTTACATAGTAATCGCTGGTATTATAAACAGGTAATTCCACCCTTGCGCACGAGGGGGGAATTTGAACAATGAAAGGCAGCCATTGGAGGCCTTTGAGGTGTACAGAGAACAACCAGATAAGCAGGATAACTCTAGTGAGTCTAGTTTTCAGTATTTCTTGTCCTTTCCAGTACATGATTAGTACAAAATACTGCTACTTTTGTGCAGATGATTCTAGGCAAATCCCCATTTGTAATGGGGAAATGTTTGTCATATTACATTACAATGTTTCTTCAACAAAAGGAATAGTTCCTGAACAGGATGTAGCTCATGTTATGATGAGCAAAGCTCTCTGGGGCATGAACCCGCTGATACTATCATCTCGTTCATGGCCAGTCTGTTGGATGAATGCTCTCTGTAAGCGGCAGGTGCTAATTAGCTGAGCAAGCATTCCATGGTCCATAGCTAGTTTGTGCAGTTGAAACTCCCCAGATTCTTATAGCCACTCCCCTGATACACCATCACTGCTCTCTTTACAAGGAAAATCCTCATGACTGAATTTTGGGATAGTCTCTGAATTGATGTCAAGAAGGGGTCAATTTACTGTTGCTTTGTATTCCTCTTTACTACTCTTTACCAACAAGGGGAAGGGTCAGATTTCAAGCTTTGGCTCCTTTCTCTGGAGGGTGGCAAACCCTGTTTAAACTAGAACTTCTGGGTATAAGTTAAACCCCTGAGAATTTACTCATCTAAAAGGAAGTTGCAATTCCTTCTCTAGATGTTAGGTATATGGGAATGAAAGAAATACAGAAAGTTCCCTCAAAGGATCTTCAGGTGGAGAAGACTTAGGTTCAAATCAAGAATGTTATCTGTCCTAGTAGAGAATTGCATGTGTATCCTCTGAGTTGGTAGGATGAACCACTCACCATAGCACTTTGGGGTTTTGTTGTTTAAAAGAAAACAACAAAAAAAACATGGCTTTGGTAAAGATGGAGCTGGAGAACAAAAGACACAGAAAGGTAGTAGAGATTAGGGTGGGACCAAGTTTAGGGAACATTCTTGGAGGCTACTGTTGCTCCTCCAGAAGGAACCTCCTGACGTCAGTGCTCTGTTAAGAACAAATGTGGCACAGACCCTGCCTCTTGGGTATGAATTTCCTATGAAAGGATTCTTACTCTCTGTTGCCTTTTGGATATTTTATTGTTCCTTAGTACCTCTGGTGAGGGGAATAATAGAAAGAGGGTGGAGAGGAGGAGGAAAGCTATCTAAGCTTTGTGGGAAGGATGTAAAAATGAAGAGAAAGTTTAGTGTTTTGATCTTTATTTCCTCAACTACCTTATCTCTTCTAACCTAGAGTTACTCGT